AATAACTGCCCAGCATCCTCTGCCCAACCAATCAGAATGTAGGAAAATCTACAGATATGACGGAATCTACTGTGAATCTACCTACCAGAAGTATGTTGAAATCTTTGTGAATCTTCCTTCTGGCTCGTGCATCAGTGCTATGCAAAAATATCCTTGTATTGAAATTTTACTTTTTATCGAATTTAGTGGGGGAGAAAAACCAAAACAAACCAAACAAATTTAAAATTTACAAATAAAAAACAAAATAACAAAAAACAAAAAAAGAAACCTTGCTTCTGATCTTAAGACAGAAAAAAAGTTATTCTTTTGAAATTATGGTCTAAAAGTTTTTTTTAAAATTGCTGTATTAAAGTTCTTAGGTAAGCTTCTTTATATTGAAATAAACAAGTACTTATATGCAAGAAAATCTCAGGAAAATACATTGCACAGGTGCTACGCATCTTAGGGATTTGAAAGGTGTGTTATGTATAAATTAGCTGTCACTTTTTTTCAATCCTGTAATGGAATGATGAGTTGTAATTTGCATAATCCTTTAAGAAGTCAAATTATACTGTCATGTAGCAGACTTAACATGCTAGCTAAGATTTCAGAGCTTTGCAGCTAATTACTATGTACCTTACAGGACAGTTAAATTGAAGTTGAGTCCTCTGTCTTTGCTGCCATTTGCTTTGTCCATTACTTAACAGAATCTGCACTTTGGTAACGAGGTATTGTTATTATCATTGAAGTAAACACACCGCTGCGGGGAAGAAATTGCATTTTTACATATTGTAGCTTGATTTATATGGTTTTTTGCTAAGAGGAAAGTTTTTTTTGTTGTTGTTGTTTTAAAGTCCAATTGGAATCTCCCCCAAAAAAGAATAAGCGATTGATGCTTTCCGGAGAAATTATGGAATATTGAGTGAAGCAGCATTAACATTTAGTCAATTAAATTCCCCTGTAGAAAGTGTAAAGTAATACAAACATAATTCCACTGAAGGCATTATTCATTCTTTATGTACCATGTGTGCTTTCATCCTCATACTCTTCTTTTGCAGTAGAATGTCATTTTTTTAAGTGCCCTTTTTTCCTTAAAAAATATCCTTTCTGAATACAGCTGGTGAGTTACTCTTTCATTTTACTTCTTCAACTGGTTGTAGAGCATATTCTTTCATGGTTTCCATTTTTAAAAACAATGAGGAAATGCTGGTGACTGTGAAGGCTGCTCTCTGAAACTAGCAAAAATTGGATCCTAGAAGAAGCTGAGTCTGTTCTGTGCCTTGCATGGTTCAGTTGATAACTGTACTATCGTGTATTTATTGTGAATGCATCTCTGGCTTTACTTATGGATTATGTTGCTTAGATTATGCATTTTCTTTAATCAGCATGAGTGTCATTACAATGAAAGTTGATTTTGATTATTAAAAAAATTTAATTTCTTGACTCATTTATTGTGACTTTAGGCAGTCGGGTTTCTGGAATTTGTTACTGTTGTGTTTGTGTGTGTGTGTGTGTGTGTGTGTGTGTGTCTGTGTGTGTGTGATTCATGGCTGTTGTAAAGAAGCCTTTTGTTGTATGGGAAGGTGGCCCTTTAAAGGCATATGAAAGCAGCAGTTGTTTGTTGACCAGTTCAAATAATGGCAACCAACAGTCAACTATTGCTCTTTTGTAATACAGTCAGTTGCACACATCTGAAATTACTGTCTACTTAAAGACTCCGATTTGTCAATGTAAAGTGAGGGGCAAGGAAAGGGCCGCAAAGAGTTTCTTCTGTAGTAAGGCTTCTTCTCTAACCAATGAAATAATCTTCAGCCCTTGTTGATTTGTTTTTTTTTTTAATTTTGGGTTGAGAAATCTATGTTATTTGTAGTAGAGGTAGACACAGTAGGCAGCACAGCTGTGCCTGCCGTGAAAGTCACTAGAGGGATATTCATAACAAGGAAATATTGGCAAATAAATGATGAAGAAGGGGAGGAAATCCCCAAGATGTTAAATTGGAGCAGTGTCACTGAGATGATTAATGCTGTTGTGTATTTTAGTGAAGATGCTTATCCGAATTGTCTTGAAACTATAGTGTGCATTTAATAGCACCTACTTAAAAAAATGCATGTGTTGTGCAAGCACACTGAAGAGAAAAGTCTCTGGATTCAGATTTTATTTCCCTGAGTATTTTTTCCAACGCTTTGGTTTCCGATTAGAAAGCTGGTGTTAATGTATAATATATGCAGAGAATATTCATTCTACATGTTTAAGATTAGGCATCATTTATATTGCACTCCTCTTTAGAGGACTGAAGATGTTTTGTAGAAACGACTGTCACTTCAATATTGTTGAGCGTGTTATCAAATGTAGGAAATGGTAGTTGTTTAGATTCAGTCTTCATAGGCAAGCAGTGTAGGTCATGCCGCCAAGTGACTAAAGGGTTCAACTTTCATCAGTGATGTCAATTTCTGGTAATAGGGTTGCTTTCTCCTGTAAGTCCCACTGTCAAGTTGTGAATATACTGATTTGGTGGTACAAATTATCATTCACGTGGCTTGTTCACTAGGATTGTTAAAAGGCATTTGTATCTTGGGAAAATGTCTTAATCTCCAGGAGACTCAATACTTCCTACTAGATGTAGAAATAAATACAGACAAATGATATTTAATCCTGTCTTCAATGGGCTTATAGAGTATTGCTGAAAAGTTTTCAAATTCTAGTTGCAAACCAGATGGGGGGATTTGAATCCACTTTAGTGGTTGGAGATCACTGAAGTAGAAGGCTTGAACACATTGTGCCAAGTTTACATTTTATTTGTTAAGGCTTCTGTTTTATTTTTTTTCTGCTTGTGTTTGTATGCATGCAGCTACACATATGTACATACTAGGTGGGTCACGAGGTAGAATGTGTTTTCTTACTGCATCCCACATCCAAAAGACATGTCAGCCACTGTTTTCAGTCAAGAAGATAGATGTATACATAATGCAGAGGCCAACATCATGGCTTGTTCATGTACAGGAGATTATAAAGAAGAAAATGGCTAGCTGTATGGAAAAGCTTCTGGCATGAAGGGCCCCTAATGTCTGGTCTCTCATAATTAGTGGTGCCACCTTGAACGAGAGTCCCTTGTCTCTACTTCTTTCTCGGTGATCAATGACCTCCGTCAGTAACTTGAAACTGGAGAAAACACTGGAAAATGCTACAGATTAGGTATCCTCTTTCATACTTCCCCAAATGGAGGCCAAACATTTTTCAGCATGTTGTTGCTTATATTCCTTCCAACTTCAGTTGTACAGGTTTATAATTGTGAATTGTTACATTTAAAATAGCTATTAAAATGTAAATTCCACTTAGATTGGGGATTATTAAGGTGATTAGACAGTTTCAATAATACTAAAAATCTAATGCAACAGGAATCTAAATCTATGATCAATTATTTTTAAAAGGCTAAATTATTTCTTAAAAATAATGACAATAAGCCTGGCACTGGCAGCTCACACATGTTATCCTAGCTACTCAGGAGGATGAGATCTGAGGATCCTGGTTCAAAGCCAGACCAGGCAGGAAAGTCAGTGATACTCTTATCTCCAATTAACCACTAGGGAAAAAACCCCTGCAATGCTTGATAAGAAATGTACTCATTACTTTGCTCATGTAACTGTAACCCCTCTGTACAGTATTTTCACAATAAAAAAAACATTAAATAAAGAAAATTTGACAATTCATTGCTGAAAAAAAAAACCCGCAGTGACACTGTGGTTCAAAGTAGAGCACTCGCCTTGAGTGAAAAAGAGCAGGGAGAGCACTCAGGCTGTGAGTTCAAGCCCCATGACCGATTAAAAAAAATAATAATGACAATACAATAGTCATCCTAAGTTCTTACATTCAATCTTTAATGGCTGTACCAGTTTAAAACTTCACATTGCAGTTGGTGGATTTAAGCACATTTGGGGGGGTACATTAATCATGCTTAAAATGATATGAATTTTTAAAAATTCCTGATCACTTTGCAAATCTTTTTGAGACCTTATTGCTTTATACTAAGTAATCATTTTGCTAAGCACTAAGTCGTTTTGGTCCTATTCCCCTCTTTCTTTTTCATTTCCCTTTCCTTTTCAAAACTGATTCTTCCTAGATTATAATACCAGTATTTTAGTGACTCATAAATTAGGAAGAGTTGATTGGAAGATGCCAGAGTTCTTACCAAATTAATAATAATTGTGCATATGTTCCTTACTTTTGTATTTTTAAATGTGAAAGTAAAAGCGATATAAGTAAGCTTTGATAAAGGAGGAAAGATAATCTCTCTATGTCTTTAACTTTGAACTTTATTTTTACACAGAGAGGCAGGACTATATTTTGGTAGTTGGGAAATACTGATGGACATGAGATGGTATTGTAGTCATGAGTCCATTAGATATCAACTATTGACTTCAGTCAAGGATACTTGGCCTGAGTGCGGTGGCATATTCATGTGATCTCAGATTTTTCCAGGGCCAGCGTGGACTACAATCACAAGGTTCTTGGTTTCTTTTCCCAGCATTAGAAAACAAAAGAAGGAAAGGAAGAGTAGTAGATAGGAAGGGCTTTGAGGAAAAGTTGGGTATCCTTAAAGCTGGTTTTAAGAACAGTCATTTCACTTAGAAAAGATTTGAGGCAATCCATTACTAACATTGAGCAGATGTGATGACACCTTTGATGTTGGATTTAGACTAGGATTGAGAAAACCTGTTTGAGAAGGTGTTTTCTATCCAGAGAGGCCATTGGTAAAGTTATAAGGTTTTTGTTTTGCATCTTTCTGAGACAAAGTTACTGTCCATCTGTGAAATATCAGGTTCATGCTTCCAGGACTAACACCACAGGGCACTATCACCTGTCCCTGTCAATGAGGATCAGGTGTTATAAACTGATAATATTACTCTTCTTGGACTATTTGCATTTTAATAAGCAACTCCAAGTGAAGGAGTTCAAGAAAATAATAGAACAGAGTCTTCTCCAGTAGAATACTTTTAGACTGTGTGACAGAGCCTGGAGAAATTATTGGGTGCTGGAAAGCATTGAAGTATTCCCTAGGAGATAACATACCCAGAATGTGGGTGTTCTATTCAGTATAACATGACTCCCAGCCA